TTGATCAACGACATGTATGGAAACCTGTACATTGTCAAAAGCAATAGTAGGTATCAAACCGATCCTTTCTCAACTTCTTTTTTTAAAGACAGTGGTCTCTAAACTTATTTCTCCCCCAAACTCAACATCCTCACAAAATGATACGGTTCCCGTTTCAAAAATTGACTTAAGTGTGTGATCATAAAATTTATAGCTCCTAGATCGCTTAGAATAACCAATAAAATAGCTGTCTGTTGTTTTGGAGTCCAATTTCTTTTCATGTAGTCTATAAGGCCTAGCCTAAGCTGGACATTTCCAAATGTAAAAATTCTTTAGACTAGGCTTTCTACCTGTCTAAAGCTCATAAGGTGTTTTAGCAGCGGTCTTAGTATCTGTTCAGAATATAAGCTGCGGTCTTTAAAGCCTATCCCCAGAGTGAAATTGTGAAGATGGAATGACTAATCATACTCTTTACCATGTCTTTAAGAGTCCGGTTTCGTCTTTTAGCTACACCATTCATGCTAGGCGATTCTGGCATGCTGTACTATGGGATGATTCTACATTCCTCTAGGTATGTAGCAAATGGCCCAAGACATTGTTCACTTGAACTATCATATCTACTGTAGTACTCATCACCATGGTCAGACCTAACGCTCTTTATCCTTTTGTTGAGTTGATTCTCAACCTTAGCTTTAAAGCTTTGAACATGTCCAGTGACTTAGACTTTTTATGGATGAGATATAGGTACTCATAACGTGAGTAATTGTCTATGAATGATATAAAATATTGTTGACCATTCTAAGAAGCCGTAGGGTATGGCCCACAAATATTTGCGTGTATCAATTCTAAGATGTTTGAAGTTTTGTTAGCATCTAATCTCTTTGTTTTGGTCTGTTTTCCATTGATACAGTCAACACGTACATTAAAATTCGTGAAGTCAAGGGAATCCAAAATACCATTTCACACAAGCCGTTCAACTCTAGCTTTTGAGATGAGACCTAAGCGTTTGTGCCATAATTTTGCTGAATTCTCTTTATTTAATTCGCGTTCAGTACCAAGTGATTCCACATGCCCACCTTCCTTTAGGAAAGAATTCCCATATGTCAATCTAGTCTAGGAGGATAGAGGCAAGAATGGGAGGAAGATGCTCTTCTCTATGTAGAGGTTGTCCCTTTCTATTATTATTAAGAAAAAAGTCTTTCCCGACAAGGTCTCATTATATGATGCAATAATATCAAGCAAATAAGGTTATCATATGCAGATAATGAAACAGTACCAATAACATTGGAATTTAATGAAATACTAAATTGATTATTTCCAAATGAACCGACAATATCCAGATTTGTCTAATGAAGAAACATAAATTAAATTCTGCCTAATAGACGGTACAACAAAAGTGTCTTTCAAGTCCAAACAATAACCAATTCCTATTAATAACCTAAATGTGCCTATTGCATCAACTTCCACCAATTTGCCATCACCCACATAGATGTATCTTTCACCATCACTTGGCTTTCAATAGCTCAGGCAGCCCTGCATAGAAATACTTATATGAGTAGTAGCACCACAATCTATCCACCAAGTGTTTTTAGGTATTGAAGCTAAATTATCCTTAGAACAAACCAAAGTAAGAATTGTACATTTCTTTGCACGCCATGCGTGATATTTGGTACAATCCTTCTTCACATGTCCAATCTTATTACAAGTCCAATTATCTTCCTTATGTTTCTTTTATGTTGGACCCTTAGGAGCAGCTTCATATTCCTTCTTCTTTTTCTTGCCCTTATCCTTAGAAGTTCTTGCTAAGTGAGCACTTTCAGTTCTTTCTTGCTTCAACCTTTCTTCCTCTTGCACACAATATGAAATAAGCTCATTTAGAGACCATTTCTCCGTTTGCCAGTTATGACTGACCTTAAATTGACTGAATTGTACAAGAAGCGAAATCAATACCAAATGTACAAGCAAGTCATCAGACAACTCAAACTTTAGTCCTTTAAGTTTAGAAGCATTGTGAGACATCTCCATGATGTATTCTCGTATGCTTCCTCTGCCTTTATACTTCATTGAAATCAAGCTTTCCAAAAGCGTGGTTGTTTCATTTTTTTTTTTTTTTTTTGCAAAATGCTTCTCAATTTCGGCAAGGAACTCCTTGGCATAGTTATCCCTTTGGATACTTCACCTCTAAAGGCTTTCGAAATGCCGCATTTAATGATCATTAGACTTATGCGATTTGAGCAATCCCACTTCTCAAAGTTTTCCTTTTCATCAGGAGAACTTTCTTTCGTAAGAGGAGTGGGTTCCTCAATCCAAAGTGCAAGGTCAAGATCCATGCAACCAAGAGCAATCAATATATTCTCTTTCCAATCCTTGAAGTTTGTCCCATTAAGCATGAGAATTGAATTAACATTGGCAGATATAGTAGTAGCAGATGAATTAGCTATACAAAGAACAAAAAAAAAAAAAAATCATGCTCATATCGATATTTAATAAATAATAAATTCAAATAATGGTAAGTCTCATCTCAAGATACCTAGTGCAACATTAATATCAAGTCTTTGGACAGTAATATTAATTATAAGTGGTACTCTTAGTACAATGATCAAACATTGTCAATAACTCCTATCAAATAATAAACCCATCTTTGGATTGATTTATTATTCACATGGAAACCTTATAATTGTCACACATTTACCATCGCAAGTGTGTATTTAATTCGGCCAAGTATTAACCTTTTTTGGGTCGGCTAACACCCGCCTGAAGAAACACACACGTTTAAACATCCTGAATAAACCAATCTACACAAAAGAGGTCACTTTGATAACATATTGTTTTAATTAGTTTATTCAAAATACTAGATAACCTTAATTTATTATGAATGAATTACCAAATTATTTGAATTTGATTGTCTCACATAATTAAATTTAAATTATTCACCTTAAAAGAGTCCTTAGTACCATAATTTGAGAAAGAGAATCACTAAATTTGCATCATTAGATGCCTTTAGAAACTTTAGGGACATAAGGGTTA